GGTCGAACGACCCTTTCACAGGGGTCGCCGGGTACTCTATGTGGGCGTATCTGCATGTGGGCCTGGAGACGGATAGAGGAGCGGTGTCTCGGTTCCTAAGACCATGGAAAATATGTGTTTTCCGATGGTCTTAGGCGACCCCTGGGAAAGGTTGAGAACCGTTGCTCTAGAGGGTGGTTTCCCTCCAACTCGTTACTATGAGCGTTCGCTGACTTCTATGGTAAGAGCCAGTGGTGTGCGGTGTCGTGTGGTAGCATTGGGTCAGCCATGGTGGGGTCCACACACCATGGAAAGTGACAAACACTACAAACTAGGCCTTTTCCTGGGGAGCCAGCTGTGAGCAGTCAGCAGGACATGCTGAGTTCGGGGTACCGCCCTGCACCCCACCACAAAGTGGCTGTGGGGGTGGAGGCCATGCCCACTGAGGATGGGGACGAGAAGAGGGTAGGAGTCTGGGTCCCTGAGGACGTTGCGCAGCTGCCATGCCACCCTGGATGGGTCACTTACGAGAGAAACAAACTGCTGCCTTGTTTGTGCCTTTTATTGTTGGGATTCCTCTGCTGTGTGCAGCCAAACCAAGCTGTAATGGATGTATTATTGCTAATATTCATTGTAACCTTGACCACTCTTCTACAGAGGGGCAAACTGAGGCTCAGAGAGGTGAAGGCACTTGCTCAATGTTGCACAGACGCAAGTGGCAGGTAAGCCAGGTCTGTGAGGCTCAGAGCCTCTGCCTGGCGCTGCTCAGACACTGGGGCCTGGGGCCACATGGCTTTCTCCCTGAGTCACAGTGGCCAGTCCTCCATAACAAGCCGTCCCAAACTCTCAAAGGCCGGCTGGGAGAGCCACGTGGCACGGGGACAGAGCACCCACTCGGGAATCAGGCTGTCCCCCGTGTCAGCAGGTGACGGTCAGGGCTGGGGCCCTTGGAGAAGGGCTGGCTCCGGGTCTGGGCCAAGATGAGCCCGGGGGGCACAGAAGCCCTCAGGGATGGGGCGGGGGGGGGGACACATGGCAGGAGACACAAGGGCCAGTGGCGAGGGCTCCCAATGGCCACGTCTGGGAAATGTGACGGTGCATGTCGGATGAAAATGTCCATGAGCACTCAGAGACCCTAAAAAGAAGGAAGGACTTCTTTATAGGATGCTGCCAGCTAAGAAATGCTGGCACAATCCCTCTCCACCTGCCGTCCCATGGCCATGCCTTCATTGGGAAGTGGGGTTATGACAAATTACTGCACTATCTGTCTTCCAGGTTAGAAAGCGAGGTGACAAATGGCAGCGTGTTTATTGTTACAACATGGACTTCCTAATCCTAAGCAAACTTGACCCACTGAATTCAAGCACTTGGTGAAGGAGACGCCTCGCTCTCCCCTTTGCTCAGTTGGTTTGTGCTTCTATTCATTCATTCATTCACTCATTCACTCATTCACTTATTCACTCCATAACCCCTGCAGAGCCTCTTCTTGGTGGCAGCCTCTGCTGGCCTTGGGGACACCGTGGTGGGACAGCGAGCTTTGTTCCATGTCCAGTGGGGGGACAGCCGTGGACAGGACGCGATGGTGACTGGGTGCGGGGGCTTCGGGTGGGACTGACTTCTGGCCTCGGCAATGCCCTCAGGAGGCAGCAGTGCCAGTTTGTCTGCCCTCATGCTGGGCCTACAGGGTTAAAGTGCTCTTGCCCGAGGCTCAGACCGGGAAGGGGGGGGAGGTTCCAGCTGGTGAGTGTTCCTCCATCTCTGCAGCGCGTCCCTGACTGTTTCTGATTTACAACCGAAAGGGCAGATGGAGGCGCCAAAGTGCATAGATAGGCGTCTCGAGCCACCTCTTGGGTCTCTGTGTCCCTCCAGCAAGGCCAGAGCAGGCACCTTCAGAACAGCTCTGGCAGGGAGCAGCTGTCCCATGGCCAGGCCTGCAGGACGCCATGCTGCCGAGCCCGCCACCAGTAGTCCCTTGGTCCCCAGAACACTCCTCTGGGAGCAGGCGGGCAGCTGTGGGGCTCTCTGAATGACAGATGAGAACCCTGAGGCCCAGGGCAGGTGGGTCCCCAGCACAGTGACCAGGAGACATGTCCAGGCCTTTTTCCACCCAGTGAGAAGCAGAGACCCCAGTGGGCTGTTGTCTAGAGGCAGACGTGTAGGACACTGTCCCCGTTCTGCTCCAGGCGCCGAGAGGCTGAGCCAGGTGCACAGCGTCCAGTAACCACTGCTTCCCCAGCCCTTAGGCCTAGAGGTCGGGATGGAACCCCGCCCTGGTCTCCTCACGGCTGCCTGCTCCCTACCTGGCGCCCTTCCTGAAAGCCATGGTATGCCCAGGTCCGCAGTGCATGTAGAGGCCATGCCAGCTCACCTACGGAGGCCGCCCAGACCCACGTGAGCCTGGAGGGGCTCTGCTGCGGTGGCTGGGTGGTTGCTAGAGCAGGTACCCCAGAGCAGCCCCGGACCTCCAGGACACTGCTTCGGGCCTCACACACAACCTGTCGGAGTCTTAGGGGCCCCTAAGAGGGACACCCCTCTTTCCCTTCATTGAGATGGAGTCACAGGAGATGAGCAGCAGCAGGGGGAGATTGTGGCTGAGAAAAGCTGGTCTGGGGGACTTGGCTTTGATTAAAGGCCCCCCCCACATCACCCCTAGTTCTGCTCACCCACCAGTCACTGAAGAGCTCTGCTCTGTTGTGCACATGGTGGGGAGCAGGCCTCTTGGGGCTGTCAGATCTGAAAGGGGGGCTGCCAGGCACTCAGCTGCCCCCTGTCCAAACTCACAGGCGGAGAGACAGAGTGAGAAGCAGAGGCCTAAGGAGAGGAGGCCCCCACCTGGCAGCTCAAGCAAGGGTGGCAGCTGGGAGCTCGGGCAGCGAGAAGAAGCCACGCCGGTCTGGCCCATCCCCTCCCCAGGGCCACCCTGAGGCCCACCCAGGACCCTACATGCCCAGAATGTGACCTGCGAACTCAGGCCCAGGCCAGGCTCTCTCAAGCCACCTATGCCTTTCCTGGGTGGGCCCCACAGCCCTTTACAAGTTCTGTTCCCTCTGCCTGCAACGCTTTTCCCCCAGCTCCTTGCTTGATGGGCACGTCCACCAGGCTGCCCTCCCTGTCTACCACAGCTAAACCTGCCTTGCCTCTGGATAAGACAGTGGCTGCCTAATTCTTGGATACCCAGTCAGAAAGATCCAGAATCCTGGAATCCTGTGAACATTAGATTCATAGAAACTCAGAGCTTGGAGGGAACTTATAGACCTTGTTGTTCCCTGGACTCTCCAACCTGCCTATGGCTTTAGAACAAGCCTGTTCTATGGCTTTAACTTGTACACTTCCAGGGATGGGGAACTCACCACCTCACGGGACAGTGGGCCCAACAGCCAATCACTCCGTCAGGAGCCCGTTTCCCTGTGTCTCCACCAGTTCCTGCCACCTCCTGCCCCAGTGCTCGCTGGTCTCACAGAACAGCCCGCCCTTGCCTGACTGTTACCATTATCCCACTCCCTTTGTGTTCCCTGGGTTCCCAGCTCTCCCGAGACAAGACCCTGTGCAAGCCAGACAGCCTCAAGGGAGCCACATCAGTCTATTTGTGGCAGAAAACTTTAGCTGGCTCTTGGGAAATGTCAGGGGATAAGTCAGAGCTGGCCAGGGCTGAGGCCCAGTGACGCTCTGTCACTTTGAGCCTCTTTCCTGAATCGGCTGAGGAGAAAAACAAGCAGTGAAGGGTTTTCCATGGCAACGACCAGCGGGCAGTGTGTTCTCCCTGTCTGGGCTTGTCCCAAGACGGCGGGTCTGGCCGGAGGCTGCTGACATGGCCCCGAATGGCAAGGGCTGTGTCCTGGGCCATGACCCTCGCCTGGGGGGAGGACTTGAGCAGCTAATCAGATTCATCTACTCCGTCACACGCACAGAGCAGATGGGGAAACTGAGCCCAGGGTGGGGCAGATGCTCACTCCAAGTCAGAAAGCAAGTTTGTGGAAGAACTGGGTCCAGGACCTCTGAGGGAGCTCTCAGAGAGATACTGTCTGCTAAGCTAAGAACGTATTCATTCACTACTTTACCATACACCCACCTACCCGCCTAACCATCTATCCATCCACCCATCCATCCACCCATCCATCCATCCATCCATCCATCATCCATCCACTCATCCAACCATCATTCATTCATGCTCTATTTATCCATCCATCCATCCATCCATCCATCCATCCATCCATCCACCCATCCATCCATCCATCCACTCATTCAGCATTGAGCCTTATTCACTTATCCGCCCACCCACAAACTTAAATGTTTCTTCCCGTATATCCCAATATTTATGTGCCCACCCACATATCCATTGATCCATTACCTCATCCACCCATCTCTGTGTCTACCCACCTTAACACACCACACATCACCCCCTCAGCACCTGTCTATCCATCTATTGTACGTACCTATCCGCTTCTCTTCCAGCCCGATTCTGTTTACTCATCACCCATCCACACACCCACTCATGCATTGTCCTCCTACACACTCACCTGCCTACCCATTCACCCACCCATCTACTTGCCTTACTGCCCACTTACCACACGCTCATAGAACTTCTATCCACCCATTTATACGCCTCCTCATCCATCCACCCACCAACCACCTACTCACCAGATTGTGGTCCACCTCCTCATCCACCCACCCATCCATTGATCTGAATACCACACATCACTGATATGTGTCCGGTTGGCTGGGCCATGGTGCATTCTAGGCATGTCACAACCTTGCCAGCACTTGCTATTATCCTGTTTTGAACTTTTGCCAGCCTGGTGGATGTGACGTCTATCTTGTGGCTTTCATTTGCGTTTCCACAGTTATGCGTGATGGTGAGCATCTGGGCTTTCTCCTTTGTGAAGAGCCCATCTGCTTGTGTGCTGTCAGCTCTGACTGTTCCCTGCTGTTGGGTACCTGCCTGCAGCAGCCCTGCCCTCTCATGAGCTCTGGGAAGCAAGACACAGATTTCAGAATTGTGTGAACACTGTTTACTCATTTAAGGCGGTAAGTGGGAGCCAGAGGCATCCCCCTATAGATGGTATAGCATGAAAGGATGTGTTTGGTTGCACACAACAGAAATGCAACCTAAGTGAATCTATTGGCTTTTCCAACAGACCAACCGGTAGTCATGGCAGCTTCAGGTGAGGCATGTTCCAGTGGTTCAGGATGTCACCGAGGACGCTGTCCTGCTTCTGAAGGTTTAGCTTGTCCTAGGTCTGGTTTCCCTTTTGTCCTTGAGCTGTTTGCCAGCACCTCCTGAGGCTGTGGTGTCTTCATCCACACCCACTCTGAAATGACCAGGCTGACTGAGATCATGTGACTGGGAACACCAGTCTATGTGTTCAGAGGATAGAGTGTTCAGGTTGGGGTCAAGTCAGCTTCTCGCAAACCATGTGGACCCCAGCAAATGGAAATCAGAGCAGATGGTCAGGAAAAGTGGGTGCTGGGGCTCGATCGACAAACACTCACCATGGCCATCATGGCCTGCAGTGCTCGGTGACTGCCACGTTGGCCACTGCGCAGCCCTCCTCGCTGACTCCTGGGTGTATGCCTGTGCACCAGATGGCTGAGTCTCCTGGAAATCTGATCTGTGGGTAGCTGCGGGATATTTTTCTTAATTATGAAAATTTTCATAATGGAAGAATAATATAGAAGAAGACCATACTGAGCACCTGCACCCCCCCCCACCTAAGTTCAGCAATTATGAACATATTGGCATATATGGTCTTTCTCCCCATCCCTCTTCTAATTTTTTGCTGAACATTTTAGTATAAGTTGCAGACATTGTGACACTTTATCCCTAATCTTTCAACTTGTATCTGTCACAAATAGGGATATTTCCTACAGAACCACAGTGCCATTATCACACCTAAGAAAATTAACAGTCAATTCTCAAATATCATCTAATACCCTGCCCAGATTAAAAGTGTCCAAAATGTCCCCTCTTTTGTAGCTGTTAGTTCGAGCCAAGATCTAAACAAGTTTCACATACTGTCTCACTTGTTTGTCTCTTTAGACTCTTTTAATTTAGAAGGAAGTCTTTTAACCTAGAGTTCCTTCTAGATTAAAAGTTTTAGATTAAAAATGTGGTTCGTCTGCTCTTTTCTTCATGATGGTGGCTTTTGAAGGGCTAGGTCAGTTGTTCTGCATAATGCATTGGTCCATTTCCTCCTGGTATTGTTTACCTTGTGCCAATGTTTCCTGTCTTTTCTGTAAGTTGGAAGTGAGGTGTGGGTCCTTCATAAACGAAGCATTCCCTTTGATTTCCGTGAGTGAAGCCGTGTGCTTTATACCACTATGCTTTATACTGCTATGCGTCAGGAGGCACATACATACCATAAGACTGTTAATTACCTTTGTGTTTTGTCTCTTCCCCCCCTCTTTCTCGGCCTCCTTTGACAGAGCATTTTAAAATTATTTCATTTTCTCTCCTCTACTGACTTCATTTACGTCTGTTAAAAGCTATTTAGAGGTTTTCCTAAGCTCCAAGTTCAGGGAGCCAGCATGGTTGGTTGAGGTCCCTGTTCCTGGCTTATAGAATGTAGACTTCACACCGTGTCCTCACATGGAGGAAAGGGCATGGGGGCTCCCTGGGGTCTTGTTATAAAAACATCAGTCTCATCATGGGGGCTCTACCCTTGTGGCCTCACCACCTCCCAAAGTCCCCACCTCGTAACACCATCAACTGTGGGGGTTAATTTCAACATATGAATTTTGGAGGGACACAAAAATTCAAATCATAGCGTGCTGTTTCTAAAGAGAAGCTAGTAATTTTTCTTGTTTTTCTCCTATATAGAATGTTTTTGCTTTCTTCTGGACACTTTTAAGATTTTATTTCTATCCCTGGTTTTTGGCATTAGATTATAAAGTGCCTTGGTGGTGGAGGTGTGTCTGTTCTGCTTAGGGTTTGTTAAACTTGTTGGATCTGTGGGTTGATATTTAGAAAAATGTTGGCCATTATTTCTTCAAGTCCATTTTGTCCCCTGCCGCAATCTTTCTCTCCTTGTTCCTCAGGATTCCAATAATGGACCCAATATGTAAAAACGCTTTTGTTAGACCGCTTGGTATTGTCTTACTGGGCCTCTGGTTTTCAATCCTTTTCCCCCCCTCCTTCAGATGGGATGATTCTGTGACCCCTTCAGGTTCGCTGACTCTCCTGTAACCTCCACTGTCGTGAAGCTCAGCCAATGACATTGCCATTCCAGACATTGTGCTCTTCAGTGGTAGACCCTCCATGTTGTTCTTTCCACGATAGTCCATTTCTCTGAGACTCTCCATCTGCTCACTCATTGCGGCCATCTGTTCATCTAAGTCCTTGAACGTGTTTGCAGGAGCTGCCCCGTGGTGCTTCTCTGCCAGCCCTGGCATCTCTGGGTATGTTACTACCGACCATTGTACCTCCTGGTTGTGCGTCGTGTTTTCCTGATTCTTCACGTCTCATCTTTTTATGTAGCCTGGGTGTTACGGATGCTGCTTGGGTCCATCTGGACTGTGGACTTGTGTCCTGACCTGCAGTTACTCACTGGCGGTCGGCATGGTCCTTCTGAGACTTCATTTTCAACTTTATTGGGGTGGATTTGGCGTAGCACTCACTCCGGGTCTGGGATGTCTGCTCTTAATGCCTGGCCTTTCTGACTGAATTCCAGGGTGCTCAGCAAGGCCTCCCACCCAGGCAGCTAGGATGCCTCCGGACTGTCCCCTCTGCCCCCAATGCCCCAGGAGTTGGACTCCATCAGGTCTCACTACTCCTTGCCCTGCACGTGGACATCTTGGCACTTAGAAGAAGACTGTAGGGCACCCCATGCACATTTCTGAACCTCCTCCCTGATCCTCTGTCCCACAAATTCCAGCAGTCTCAGTTTCCCCAAACTCTGATGTCACTCAGTGAGACCACCATGCTGTCTTGGGTTCTACCTCCCTGTACTGTGGTCCAGAAAGTGCCTCCAGGCAGAAAGCAGGGAAACGTGGGGCTGACTGGCATCCTCGTCAGGGCACAGCCCTGCAGTGCCTGCTGCCGGACGTCTGCACACAGCCACTCCCTCTGTTCTGTCCAGTCTCACAGTCGCGTATGATAGGAGGACTTGTCCGGTTCCAGCCTCTTTGTCATGACAGAAACAGAAGGTCAAGCACTGACTGTTCGTTCTCAGAAGGTGGCTTCCCTGTTCTTTCCCATGAACACTATGTCCTGGAGAGCTCTGCTGAGCACAGAGGTCAGCCTGCTCCTCTCGATGACCGCCTACGGCCCCATTGTGGAGATGGACCTCGGTTACAGCCAGGCCCTGTGGCAGGGTGGCTGAGATGTCCCTGTTGTTTGGCATGACTGATAATGGCACAGCGGGTACTCTGTGCCTAAGTCATGTCACATTGTGGAGTGGATCTCAGGGTAGACTTGAGATCTCTGGGTCAAAGGCAATTGCATCTGTGCTTTTGTCCTGTCACTAAATGTCCCTTCAGCCGTATACCATTTTGTTCCCCCACCAGCAGGGGGTGAGGGTGCCTGTCTGTCCACATATCTGCCCAGAGGGAGCACTGCCAGGCCGGACAGCTACTCTCTAGTTGGGGAGACATGGGCTAGGTCTGGATGGTTATATTTGCATTTCTCTTATTTTTAGGGAGGTTCTGCCCATTTTTATACATCTGAGGGTCATCTGCATTTCTCTGTGACCTGTCTGTTCATGTCATCTGTCCACCTGTTTTTGTTCTATCAGGTTTGGGTCTTGTATTTTGTTCCTGTTTTTTTTTTTTAATATATTAGGGAGATCAGCCCTCTGACTGTGATATAAATTGTAAATATTTTCTCAGTGATTACTCTGACTTTGTGTATTTTGACTTCATGTTTTGTATTTTCCCATGTGGTTGATATGTACACTTGTATATACACAACTTATATATCGTATTATCCGTATCTTCCTTTATGGCTTCTGGCTTTTGAGTCACTGTAGTTAGAAAGGCTTTCCCCACTCTTAGATTATAGGGGAAATCACCCACAAATTCCTCAGGCAACTGTGTAGTTCTGTTTTTTTAAAATTCAGACTCTGTTCCACTTGGAGTTTATTCTGGGGGACGCCATAAAACCCAGATCCAGTGTTATCTTTTCCAAATGTTTGTCCAGTTGTTTTGATAGTGTTGAGCTGTACCTGAGCCCTGGACCCCTAAAAACACCTGAGAAACCCCCCAGCCTTTGTTCCCGAAAGCAGCTCCCTGCAGAGAGCCCCTGCCCCGTGTGACCTAGGTGGCTCTCCCAGTGTCCCCTGTTCACCTGTTCACCCAATACAGACCCAGCTTCCTTCTCTTCACCTCGTAAATGACTAGCTGAACCGCTTGTTCCCACTGATCCATGGGAGCAAAACGTGTGTTAAGCGAACTTGGGTCCCGTCCACCGAGCCAGCACAGAGCCCGCGGAACAGGCCGGCCTCGGGAAGCAGCTTCCAATCCACCATCCCTCACCCCCTCTCCTACTCCCAGTGTTCTAGCCTTGTGTTCTCTCTGTAAACAAACAAACAGAACAAAACAAAACAAAAGCCAAAACCTCTTTAAAAACACCAAATCCCTCCAATACTCTTTTTGCCTAATTCTGGAGAGGCTTGCAGACCTGAGTCAGAGTCCTCCGCACTGCAGTGGCCCTTTGCCCCCCCCCCCCCCCCGCTTTCCCCCCTCCACTGTAATGCTTTTGGATGAAGTCTCTCTTCCCAGGTGCGGACTTGAGTTTTGACAGTTCCGACGCTGCTTGCTGAAAGGCCCACCACACCCCAGCGGCCTGAGGCGCCCCTCTGCCCCATGAGGAATGCCCGCGCATGCTTGGCTGTTCCGGTTCATTGACGGCTCTGCCCACTGCACACAGCAGCTCCATGGTGTGTGTGTCAGCGCCACCAGCCCACCTGCCGCTCTTCACCCGCGCTCCCTGGCTGTGCTTGTGTGTTTTTCCACGGGAACTTTAGAATCGACTTGTCTAGGAAATAAGCCACTGGTCTTTTAGTGGGGATCCTTCGAAATGTACGTACTGACTTTTGGAGAATTGAGGCTTTCAGCGCGTTGAGACTTTCTACACCAGAATACTTGCTCGAGCCTCCTTTTGTGTGTTTCAGACATGTTTAAACACTTTCCTGGTGAAGGCCCAGCACGTCTCTGTTCTGTTCATTCCTGGATGCCATCTGTTGTGGCCGGACAGGGAGGCTCCTCCTCCACCGCCCTCCTCGGGGTTCTGAGACACCTGTCCATGGTCCTGACTCATTTTTGTGGGTTACTTTTCTCTCCCTTTCGCACTGAATTCTCTTATTATTTGCTGATTGTTGTTTGGTGATTATCTTGTTATTGTTATTTTTTTCCCGGTAACTGCCATGAACCTGAACTTGGAGCCGTTCGGCCTCTTTCATGTGGCAGTGGAAGCAGGGTGGGCCTCAGGGCACAGCGAGGACAGACCCTGTGGGCCCACCCTGCTGGCCTCATCTCTTACCTGTCCCTCACTCCAGCAATGGTGAACGGATCTTAGCTCCATCCAGCACTAAGCTCTGCTGTGGCTCCCCTGCCATGCTGACATGAGCAGCCCCTCTTCCAGGGCCCCCACCCCAGATCCCTGATGTCACTGCAGAGTCCTGGGACTGCCGACTGCAGACCAACCACGTGGGCCGCCCAGCCTCAGCAGGCCCAGTGTCTTGGCCTATGGCCTTCGCTCCACTGATGCAGGGAAGCTGAGGTCCAGCCAGGCCAAGGCTTCCAGAAGGTCAAGCAGCTTTTTAGGGTCAGAGTGGGTTCAGTCCAGGCGGTTTGCTGCTGGCTCCTGTCCTGAAGCCAGAACCCGATGACCCAGCACTGCACTGAGAGCCCTTCTAAGACTTGTGCGTCGACTCTGAGACACCATCCGCTTGAGAGGTCAGAGGGCAGGCAGAGCCACGCCAACACTGACTCCTGTCACTTTCCACGAGTCTGTGGTGCGGACGTCAGGACCACAACACATGTGTGCACACTTAGGCGGGTGCGTGTGAGTCTGTGGGTGTGTGGGAGGCACAGCTCCCCCACCTACACGTGTCGACGGGAGGCCTCCTGGTGGGTTGGGGCTGTCCCAGCCTGACTGCCTTCTTTCCCCGGGTGGAATGTGCGGAGCAGCAGGAAGGCGAGTTCAAGGTGTCCACTCAGTGTGCAGCTCCTGTCCCCAACACCAGCGGGGCCTCCCAGGGATCACGTTTTACACTTTACACCCCCACTTTCTTTTTAGCCCAGGGCTAGGCATGCAGTAGGTGGCCCATGCACACTGCCCTGCACGGCTCTTCCATAGGGACAGGCCTGAGGCCCAGAGGTGACGAGTCAGGTGGAATAAGGAAACGGAGCAGGCTGGTCCTAAAGAGACATTTCTCCTTATCAGAAGCATGGCCCTCCTCTGCCTGTAACAACCCACTTTTAACCGGGCACTTGGCAGCCTGGCTCCTTCTCTTAGCATCTTCGCCCCACTTTCTTGCATGTGGCCTTGTTCCTCAGGAGGGGGGCAGGGGCTGTGCCATTGCCTCCACAGCCTCTGTCACCGCCTAGCACCCCAGCACACCCCGAGGGAGGACATACCTGAGAGGAGAATGCTCAGGGCGTTTGCACTGTCTTGTTCTTCAGACGCTATGGCCCCTTGGTTCCAGGGAGGTCCTGGGCCTGGCCTGCGTGTGCAGGAGTCAGGATTCAGAATGCACCCGAGACACAGGGCTTGTTGTCTCTTTTCTCATCCGTTTCCCTTCCTGGTTTGGGAGCAACCGGAACCTTCTAGAGCCTCACCCAGCCATTGTCTGCATCGTCAGGTCCTGGCCTGGAGCGGGGCACAGGAAAGGTGGGCAGCGAGTGCTTATCAGAGAAATGAATAAATGGGGGACAAACCCAGTGGGTCCTTGCAGCCGTCCCGCCAGGCTGGACATAGTGACCATGACCACCTTGGGGCCTCTAGGGGCTGCGCTCTCCTCCGCGCCCTCCGGCCCTGCTCATCTGCTGAACTCCTGCTTGGCCTTCAGGGCTTAGCTCAGGGCCCCCTCGTCCAGGAGGCCTTCCGGGCCCCTCTTTGTGGCCCCAGTCCCCACTCCTCTCAGGGCCCCTGTCTGCTCTGTGAGCTTCTTGAGGGCAAGGACAGGGCTGCCTCGGGGCTCCAGCGCCCAGCCAGACGGGCACAGAGGAGCTGTCCCTGGGCTCTGGGAGGGCTGGCCCACAGGCCTGTTGGGGTGGCAGAAGGCTGCCACGCTCTGGGGACTACCCGGCCTCGCTGAGCCTGGACCTTGTCCCCGCTGGGGAGGCGTACTCGGGGCCCTCCGCTGTGTGTCTGTTTGTCCCCAGGAGATGGAGCAGCACGTTTTCTCCCCGTCCTGAGCACCTCCCCTGAGTCCAGCGGCAGTGGTGTGTGCTGGGGGCCCAGCCAGAGCCTCGGGGTGCCTGTGAGCAGGGCTGCTCACAGAGGGTTTAGGAAAAGAAACAGGCGTTTTTAAAATTAATTTAAAACAACTTTTTGCACTTTCTTAAAATGAAAACAACAGCATCAAAATGTTAAAAACAAACTATTTTTTACTTTAAAAGGGCAAAAACAGCCCAAACAAACACAGAGCGAATGAAAAGATCTTGGCTGAAGGTACTGAGGCTTACTCATAGCCGCCCAAGGATGGAAATTGTTCAGACTGGGACAAACCTAGCGGAGTGCCAGCCCTGCTGTGCCAGGGGGTGGAGAGGCACATGGCTTTGCACAGAGCGTGTCCAATAAGCCAGCAAAAGGGTGTCTGTCATTGGAGGAGCTTCTTCCAGACAAGGGGCGTCTGCCCATGAAGGCTGGTGGGGGTGACAAGTCAGGCAAAGCTTCCTGGAGGAGGCAGCCCATGAACTTTGGCCCTGAGCTTTGAAGGGCTTTCCGAGCAGAGAGAAAGTCTTGGGGGAGGAGCCAGTGGAGTGTGGGGGGAGGGGACCAGTGCTCGGGCACTGGGTAAGAGCAGTACTTACAAGCCCGGGACCTGTAGGTTCAAATCAGACTCCATCTCTTAGGAGCTGTGACTGCAGGCAAGCCACTAACCTCTCTGGGACCAGTCTGCGCACTTACAAAATATGAGCAATGAAAGCACATGCGAGGGCCAAGCCGATATTAGACTTCAGGGCTCGTGTATGTGGACGTGGAGTGGGTGGCAGGATGTGTCCTCATGGGCCTTTTGGTCTGTGGGAGACTGGGAAAATGACTTCCTGAAGCCTAAATGTCCCCATCTGCCAAATGGTGGCAGTACTGAGCTCCTTACCAGGTGGCTGGGAGGATCCGAGACCCAGGAACCCAAAGTGCCTCGTGCAGCGCCTGAGGTACAAGAAGTGCTCACTCAGTGTTAGTGACTTGGTATTTGAATAATGTTGGGAGGTTTTCCAGGTGGTTTGATGCCCATACCCCCCTGCGACCCCCACAGTTACTCCTGATAGGAGGGCTGTAACCGGCCTTTTGTCTAGATGTGACTGACTTAAGTATCAGCTCCAGCTCATAACCGTCCTGGTGGGGTTGGGTTTCTTGACTCGGCTCCAGGCGTCAGGACTGCAGGGTCACTTGGACGCTGCACGTGGCTGTCCCTCACAGACTAGGATGCAAAGGGGTCTCCTCCTCTACAGATCTTTTCTGAACAGTAGCAATTCTTCCCGTTACCTGGGGGACTGGCTGGCGGGGCGGTCAGAGAGTGAGTGGGCTGGGTCGGGGACCTGAGCTGCCCGTGGACCTGGGGGAGGAAGAGCTTCCCCTCCATGACTGTCCGGGACCTTCGGGCAGCCTGGCCGCTGGAGGCTGAGCCCGCCCTGGAGGTGAGCTTGGCAGGCAGTGGTGTGGGGAGGCCGACAGCTTCCTGTCTCCAGAAACCTTGGCTGCCTTCCTGGGCCCCAGGCGGAGTGTGACTTGACTCCTGGAGCCACCGCAGGGACTGCCTGGGCAGGAGGAGTGGGTCTCCAGGTGGCGGGTCCCGGGTGTCCCCATGTCCCCACCTCCACATGCTGGAGCTCCACCCTCAGGGAATGAGGCACCTGCTGCCTGAGCCCCAAAGCTGAGGGTGGGGGTGTGTGTCCCCGCTCTAACAAGAGTTCCCAGACACATACTGGCTGCAGGGGCTCCCTTCCCATCCCCCTGTTATGTGCCAGGTACAGCCCTGAGCATCTTACAGACACTGACGGAGTTAATGTTATGAGGTAAACTCTGACTATCTCCCATTTACCAAGGAGGAAACTGAGGCATGCAGCCATTAGGTAACTTACCAGGGGCCACACGGTCAGGAGAGATGCAGCGAAATTGACCCTGGGCCAACCAGACTCTGTGTCCTGACCTCTCGCCTCTGGGTCCCGTAAGAAATGACTAGCAAACCTGCAAGAATGAGAAGCATCATTGCTGTGATGGTCGCGGCCCAGTTGGAGGGAGTGCTAACCTCAGCCCCTGTCAGAGAGGGGTCCTCAGAAACCTCGGGGACACTGTGGCGGGCGGTGCTTGCGAGGGGCCAGGCCCCTTGCTCCCTGTCTGGACCCTGGTTGGACCCTGGCTGACTTGCCCGTCGGTGGAGAAATGCGGAGAGCTCAACCCTGGGGTGAAGCTGACAAACGCCTCCTGCAGCGAGGCCCTCGGTCAGGGAGAAACCAGGCCCCGCCCCGGGCTGTCTGGGGCAGCCCAGCATGGCGCTCAGAGGGCGGGGAGAGATGGCTGTCTTGCTCGGGGTGCCCTGGGGTCAGGTGGAGGGAGTGCAACCAGCATCAGGGGCAGGAGGCCATGGCCTGGCCTGACGGGCAGAGCTGAGGGCGAGGGTCTGGCAGGGCGGGAGCACAGCTGGAAAGTGCCAGGAGAGGGCAGGGTGGAGGCCCATGGAGGGGATGAGGGGCACACAAGAGCGTCAGCTGCCGGGAAAGCCTGTGGTCCCAGGGACCCTCTGCTCCGCCCCCCCCGTCCCTCCTCCACGCTGCCCTGGGAGACTCCAGGTGGGCGTGAGCATGGGCTGCCCAGACACTCTGCGGGTCCCCAAGCCCGGGGCACCGGAGCAGGATCAGGTGGAAGTTAGAGGATGGGCTTGATTTCATTTTATCTTACTTTTTATTTTTATTTATTTTTAAAGATTTTATTGGGGAATTGGGGGAGGGGAACAGCGTTGGGGAATTGGGGAAGGGGAACAGACAAGTTGCTGTCCTTTTGTTCTTCAGTCT